AGTCGGCAGCGAGCGGGAGTCACATGACCAGCGTGGCATGGGTTCTCATGGGGACAATTGTGAGACCGCGAACGAGGTGGAGGCCGACGAAGGCGCACGCGATGACGCCAATGCTGTGAACGCGGGGGCGGCAGAAGAACAGGCTGAGGCAGCCCCAATGACGGTGGAGAGGATGGCGCCAATCAACAGTCATCGGAGGGACGAGCGCACGGGCATAGCACGTGGGTGCAACAGCCGGCTCGCGGCAAAACGCATTAACTCAAGGCCGGCGGAAGAGTAAGCACCACGTTCTGACGATGAGAACGAGCATGTTTGCGAAATGTCAGCACAAATATAATTTGGTCCCAGCACTTGCCCCTCTTCTTCTTCCTCTTCCAGGGATGATGAGCACGATATATTGTTTTTACGGTCCTCAGTTACAGTGTGGTAAAACAAACTACATCCGTGCACGTTTATTGCCGTACTGTATGGCGCAAAACGTAACAAACGTTAAAAAAAACTGAATTTTGTAAACTGAATCTGGTCCTGTTTTCCCCTAGACAATGCGACCTTTCATACTTTTATGTGCCTACTTTTCATGAAGGCAAACATGAATTCTTCTGTTATCTAAAAAAATACAATTGAAAAGTTTCTGGCTTATATTAACGTTCTCTTATGCACTACGTTTATATAATAAGCATTTACTAGTGTAGCAAGTCCTTTGTAACAAAACATGCTGGATTTTGTCCAATTCTGCCTATCGGTCATTTAATTTATTGAGTTGAAGTGAGCTGTTTTTCTTTGAGCAATTTTTTACTCTTCAAGTCAATTAAGTGAGCATAATTAGCAACTTCGACTGTATGAATAATGACCTCCCATAAGTTTTCGATTTTAACATTTCATTAATTAAACTGCCTGCTGTATGTGAAGTTTTTTTAGTCACTTATTGGTTTAAGTAAGCTTTGACGTCAAACGAAGTTTCGGTTAAAGGCACACGTTCCACATGCTTTATTCTCAGAGGCAAACTTCAGCTAATTATATGCTTAGATCCCATTTTTGGCGCTAAAAACGACTCCAACCAATAAGCCAGTAGAAAACCTTGGATATAAAGCATTGCATTTTATTAACAGTTTTCTTCTTTTTATGATTAATTACATTTTTACTAAAACCTTTCGGTATTTTAACGTTTTCAACCTAGACCAACGCCCCATTAAACTTTGGTCAACACTATCCTCAATGAGACATCGAGCAAATCAGTGTTAAAACGGTCTTATTCGAAGTGAGGTTAAACCAGAATTAGTGAATTAAGAGTGGAACGTTTATACATTCCTTGAATTGTAAGGTCAGTGGGCAGCGTTACTACCGCAAACTTCTTATTTCGTGAAATTCTGACTACCGTTTGCTTTTAAGTAGTTCGGATTTCTGTAATTTATTTTGTTGTATAACAGACTACGAGGGACATAAGGTGATCTAGGTTAGGTGGTACTCTGTTCATATCTTCATTATTTTATATGGATTCGTAACAGTGTTATTTTGGCAAACGAGATCCGTTAAGCCTTTCTGCCGACGATTACCATGCCACCATAGTCTCCTTGTGGTTTGCGTACTCCTCCTGCGTATGTAAATGTCAATATAGATCATAGCTCAAAAACGCATCGGGCCTAGTATGTCATGTGTCCTTAACAAGGAACGCCTTCCGCTGTACCAAAGAAACCTATTTTGTTCTATCTGAATCAATTTACTTAGCTATTCTTTTGATGAAATTTTTTTCTCCCATGTTTTCGCATCTACTTGAGCCATCCTTTTCCAAATTATCCAGTGAATGTTGAACTACAAGAGAATGAACACAGGTCACACGGATAGGTAAACTTCTCCGAATGATTTGCGAAACCTGGGTTCGAATTCCGGAATTTCTCGGCCGGAATTGGAGGTTCCATACCATCCGACAACGGCTAATACTTTTTTTTCAAGTCTTTCTAGCATCTTCTAAATCTTCTGAATAGTTACCTACTTATTGAGCACGCTCCAGCACGTTTTTGCATACTACCCTTAAAAGATGAATGTTGATTTAGTGTTCTACTGAACCGCTTCCATCCTCTTGTCTTGAACTTGTAATTCAGCACCTCCTCCAAGGAATGAACAGCGATTGTTACTCACGGTAAATATACCGCAAGCAACCTTGTTGTCTACTTCGTCCATCCGGCTCTCTCTCCCGCTCGATGATAATTCTGGATTTTCACACAAACTGTGAAGTCCATCCTCGTCGCAGTCGTCATCTGAGGCGCTCGAACCAATCCCGACGCTGAAGAAGTCGTGGCCTGAAGGGTTGCCAAATTCCCATATGAATCGACTCCACTTAGTAGTGAGAGTCAAGTCACAATGACATCCTCCCGATGTGAATTTCACACCACTCTCACTTACGCGAGCGCTAAGCCGCCCTTTCAATAAATTTGTAAAATAGGAAGTCGGGTGTTTGTGGTACGCATAGATAGTCCATTTTGTGTTGCCAGTCACCACAGTCTTGCTTATGCCGGCCGTTTTGACTATGCTTTGCCCTCGGGGCAACGTGGGCGAGGGAAGGAAGAGGTAGGTAGATGCGGTGAAAGCCTGCCCAGTTTCCCTTTTGCTGTTGTGTCTTGACTCGCCTTTTCTCACGTCAGCCGTCAAACCTCATTGTTCAAATAAGATCTGCCTACACGCGAGCTTGTAGTGGTCGTTCGTGCCCGACGCCCACAAAACTCTTGACGTCACAGACAAGTTCACTCGGAGCAGGAATTTGCACGAATGTACTTTTTGGCCTGCCTCCTACCAGACACAAACTGGAGCGCGAGACACGGACCATCCACGCCCGTGTCAACCTCCATGTATTTCAACCAATCACCATCAAAGCCGCCAGGCCGAGAGAGGATTAGGCTGTGGCCTCCG